TTTGTAGCCGTTTCATTATAAGACATACTACTGCACAAATGGGAGATATTGCTATATTACTCCCATTCAATCAACTATTTGTCATGAATATTGACCATATAGATGGTAAGTGCTATTTCCATTATATCCAATGTTGTGTCACTGTACACACTGTATTGGAAAAGATTTTAAGCATGAATGATTATCCTTCTTTGCCCATGTACGTTACATCATTGCTACCCAGGTAACCAGCCGTGCGGTCATGCACTTGATGACTTGTGCTTTTGTGAGGCCATAGTAAAAGTTTATGGCTTGGTTATGGTGTGCCCATAATGTCATGAAAAAGAGGCAGAGTTGAAGAGAGGTAGGGTATATAAGTGCAGGAAACTTCACCCATCAGTACTTCAACTCTCAGCTTGCTCTTCCTCTCTGCTCAACAATCAACGCCCAAACCATGGCTTTCAACGGAAAATGGGAAACCGAATCTCAGGATGGATATGCAGAGTTCTGCAAACTGATTGGTAAGCCGCTTCTTTTCAAACAACTGGTTTTTGCCCTGATGATGGTTGAAAGCCAGTGGAAGAGTTTGTAATTCAGACCTAAATATAGATTTTTTTATGAATTGCTTTAACTTGAGAATTTCTGACTGCACTTCCATCCACTTAATCCTAGGTTGCTCTAGTTTAGACTGTCCTTGTACTATAAATTGCTTTGGACAAGAAATGTGGTCCTATATGTTCTGCTGTGTTTGCATCTCATTTGCAAGCATGTCTTAAGAACCTCTTCTCTCAAAGTTACCAAAAAAAAACTGTGGTTCCATTAAGAACCTTTAATATTCATGGAACTTTTCCACTGCACAAAAGGCTCTTTACAATGGAAAAGGTGTTCAGATTATTAAAATGTTCCTCACACTATGAAAAAAGTGCTTCTTTTAATTATGGAATATCTAAAATATGGTTTTTCTATGGCATTGCTGCAAAAAAAAATCCCCATTTGGAATCTTTATTTTTAAGAGGAGCTATTTAAATTTGACAATTCTCCGCTGGTAAAATTATGGAATAATAAAGATGTGTTTAATGTTTCTGAAACGGTTCTTTTTATGCACACCAAGGTTGCATTAATTTGATCAAAAGCAAAGTAAAAACAGTAATATTGTGAAAAGAACTTCTAATATATTTTAAAATGTAATTTATTCCTGTGATGGCAAAACCGAATTGTCAGCAACCATTACTCCAGTCTTCAGTGTCACATGATCCTTCACGTAATCTTTCTAATATGCTGATTTGGTCCTGTATACCTCAGGTATCCCTGATGATGTCATCTCAAAGGGCCGTGACTTCAAGCTTGTGACAGAGGTCATCCAGAACGGAGATGATTTCACATGGATCCAGTACTACCCAAATAACCATGTTGTGACCAACAAATTCATCGTTGGCAAAGAGAGTGACATGGAGACTGTCGGAGGGAAGAAATTTAAGGTATGGCATAACCCTCATGAGAGATCAGAGTGAAGTTACTGTATAACTTTGACTTCAGTGAGATAGTATGTTCATAAACTGCTTCAATGTGATAAACTCATACTTGCATGTCCTCACTAGGGCTTAGTCTCCATGGAAGGGGGCAAGCTGGCCATAAGTTTCCCCAAGTACCACCACACATCTGAGATCAGCGGTGGAAAGCTGGTGGAGGTGAGAGATCATGATATTTGACTTTGTGAGATGAGTTTCAATGCTTGTAATGTAGCTAAAGTCCCCTTGCTTTGCTTTACAGACCTCCACAGCCACCGCTGCTAGTGGTCCAGTTGTTTTTGTACGTACAAGCAAGAAGATCTAACTGCATTATTGAGATAAATGAACATGATCCGCTCTGACCTCTAATTTACTTCAATAAAGTGTATGAGCTAAACTGACTAATGTCTCCTGATCTCTCCACTTCATCCTGCTTAATGCATTAAGTGATTCAGTGATGAAATGAGTCACATTATAAAGAGATAAAATATCTAATCAAATTAAAATGATTGCTGGCTGCCTGACCACCACTGGAGGGCAGTCAGCACTTAAATCCTGCATGTACCCTTCAGGCCGATCTCTAACAAAGACAATAGCATTCATTTTTTAAACAAACACCAAGGACAACACTAATGATAACAAAGAAAGCAGGTGGAGGCTTGGAGGTAACACATTCTTAAGCAACAACTAAAATGAAAATTAAATTAAAAAGAAAAACAAATACTAAGGACAATACTAATTAGTACATGAAGAATGGATGGTGGGCACTTGTTTTTTCAAGGCAATTATTAAATTAAATCATTAAAAAAATTGTAGCACGTTTAATCTTTAACTGGTCAAAACACTGTTAATCCCTAATATCACTATATAAAAACAATATGAACTAAATATCCATTTGAAGATTCAGCATGAATAAAGAAATATAACAAAAGCAGTCGAGGGTGCGCTTCAGTTTAGAAATACCCCCTCCTGGTAATTAAGAAAAAAGGTGCCAGCCCCTCCCCCCTCCTTGCTTTGCAAACAAAGGTTGTGAAAATGATCCATTACCCAACTGTCCCTTTGGCAGCTCTCAACCCCCCCCTCGTCCGACTTGTGTCTTGTCATCATCATACCAGCTCAGACATGTGGCCCACCTCCCAGGCCCTGCCCATGTACCCCCCCACCCCGCCAGGCTCCAGCACAAAGGGAGGGCCCCTCTCTCTGTCTGCTATCCACCCAATCGCTTTAATTAAACAGATAAAACCCCTAATCCGCAACGGTGCAGCAAGCTCCACCCCATCAAGAATATAAAAAAAAGTCCATATAATGCAAATGTACGGAACCCCCAAAGTTGATGCCTAAAAAACACACGACAGGAATCCAACGACCGCAGTTGAAGAATCAATGTCTTCTGAAGCGAAATGATAGATGTAAGAAAAATGCTAATATTTAAAACTTCTCACAACTGTCATACTCCTAAACCAATTTTACAGCCCATCAAATTATATGGCCTCTTAAAAGTCAGTGTTATATAAGACTCCTCAAGTCAATTCAAGGTCATTAAAGGGATAGTACAACCAAAAATAAAAATTCTGTCATCATTTACTCACCCACATGTCATTCCAAACCCGTAAGACTTGCTTTGCTCTTTTGAACAAAGATGGAAGATATTTTGAAGAACGTTGATAACCGTTTTAACAGTTTTCGTTCCTACTAACTTCAATTGTGCTTTTTGTACAATAGAAGGGAACCGAAACCATTTAGTTAAAAATATGTTAATCAAAATATCTTCTTTTGTGAAAAAGTCAGTCAGTCATACAGGTTTGAAAAGATATGAGAGCTGGTAAATGACAATTTTCATTTTTGGGTGGACTATTCTTTTAAAGTCTGACATGTTAACCCAGTTACATCATGGCCGTCTCTATTAGTTTTAAGGACTCTATGTAACTACCAACTCAGTCATGAAAGAGATCAGTTACTTCCAATTCTTCTTCTTCTCTGTCTTTTGCACTACACAGATGTTTCCTTAAAACACCCACTAACAGAAATAAATCACATTTCGTCCATCACACCAACACAACTGTAGCTATTGTCGGCTGTTCTTTGAGGCCAAGAGCTTTTATCTCCGAAACGATCAGTGGTGCTCAGTTGGATGCGCTTTATTTGTTTAGTGGTGTTTAGTGACAGGAAGAACCACCATGTGGGGCAGGAATCTACCCCATTGTCTTCAGTCCAGCGTGTTACATGCGGAGAGGAAGGGGGAGGGCAGTGGTATTTGGGGTGGAGCCAAGTGAACACGACCTAACCCCCCACCCCCCAAAGACCTTTTCATGTGCAATGAGTCCAGACATTCATATGAAACAACTTGCCTTGAGCCATGCAAATTCAGCGTCTACTCAAAATGTATGACTCACATGAACGAAACATTTACCAAGCTTTTGTGCTTCTTTTCCATTTTATTTCAGGGGTTTTCATTCAATTTACACCTGTTGTCCCCTTCCCTACCCAAATACAGGCTTTTAAATAAACCCATTAGATCACTGAATGAGCAGAATCAACGTTCTCTAGTCTACTACATGTCTAGAGATTCAGGAGACATTGGTTGCAATGTGCAACATTTTCTTGGTGGAAAAATAAATCACTGCATGTAAGCAGTAATAGAGTGTTAAAACAAACCAAACCAACGAAAAACTAATTCTACATTGTAAAAAAATAGTGGTACAAAAAAAATGTACAGTCCAAAAAGTAACAAACTAATGGTTACATATTGCACACACAGAGGCTTCAACAAGAGAATGACTTGAAATATCAAACAGTGCGTGTCTGTTACAGTGAACACAGTTCTCTACCTACACAAAATACGGGACTTCAACACAAAAAAGCCTAAGTTCTGGGTAACAAAAAAAAAAAAAAAAGCATTTAAATGTTCTGACCAATCAAGAAGAAACAGAAAACGAAAAGACGAGCCCTGCAGAATCAGCAAGTAAATGGCAATATATTGAGGTAGTTTAAAGTTCAGGACAATAGGAGAAAGATTTTGATCCAAAGTCCAGTAAAGTGGTTGAAAAAGCATCTCATTCAGCAGGACGTAAAGCAGACACTTTGGTCTTAAGGCCAGTCAACATATATAATTCATTGTGTAGTCTACGAACCTTCTGAACAACAAAAAAGGACAATAACAAAAGGAAAGAAATGTAGCATGTTTGGTTAAACTTATCTTTAGTTTACAATAATAATAATAATAATAAAATATTTTGGACCGAATATTAAAGACTGCTTAACAGAAACTAGACATCTGGACTAAAATGTTGACGCTACAGCTGAAGCACATTGTAACAGCAGATCCATCTTTTCTAACCTGAGCCGTGAGGTTAAACTAGTTATTAGCATGACCTTGGAGGTAAATGTGAATGATAGTGTAACAGTGAGGTAATTTTTATGAGCCACAGTGTCTTAAGGGAAGAGGTACAGCACAATGAAGTCGTCTTCATAGCACACGGCAGAACACGGTTCTGGTGATCATAGCTCTTTTTCCCTGGGGGGGGGAGGAGGAGGAACTAGTAAAGCATGGCTTCCTCCAGCATGGAAATGAGGGGAGCACAGATGCCTCCGTCCCCTGAGGCGTCTCCCTCCATCTGCCTGAGGGAACTGGAACCTCAGCGTAACGTCAACCTTCTCTAAAGACCGCATCGGTTTAAAACTGATTCGACAAGAAATACGGACAAGAACAAAAGAAGCTACTTCATACAAACATCAGCTGTTTCAATGGTATGTTGTGTGTAAGTTTTAAAGTGGTCTGTACATCCCTGATATGTGGCATGTCACTGTAAACAAGACCAGAAGGGAGACCGGATTCTTGGTCGTAAAGCCATCAGTTCATATAAAAAGGCAGCAGCATCAAAGGACCGTAAATCCAGTGTGAAAGTTCAAGGACTCATTTGAAAATGCTGGTGAGATGGAATGTGGATCTCCACGATTTCTCTTCTTAAGGCTGTGTGCTTTAAAAAGGATCCCCCAAGTCATAAGAGCATCCTTCGTCTTTTGTTGAGGTCGACACAGAACCAGAGTCTAGTTTATACTGTTGTGGCACTGGAAGAAGGTCCTCACTTGGCTAAATAATCTTAAAAAATAGACATCCTCAGTTCATAAAAGCCTAAAAGGAAGCATCCAAAGCTAAAAAACAAGAGTTCTCAAGTTAATACTATGACCTCAGTGGGATCCACTCGACTGTTGGATTTCTGTTTGGAACGTCTTCGTCTGCGAACAAGACGAAGCCCCTCGGGAGCGGCGGAGAGGGCGGAGGACGGCGGCGGCCCCAGGTTGAGTTTGTCCTCCCTCTCCTGGCGTCACCTGTCGAAGCAGCCGGCTGTGAATGTGTGGTGGGAACTCAAGTAGCCGCTCCCGTAAGTCAGACCGAGGCAGTGGCGCTCGGGTCCCATGCTCACCTGCATGGAGATGGGACCCTGGAGGGGCAAGCCTCGCAGCCCAGACGCCAAGCTTGGGAAAGATGCGAACGAGCCGGCCGGCATTGAGGCCGAAAGCAGACCGGCCTGGTGGGGCTGCAGATATTCCCGAGAGCCCACTGGTCCCAGGGCCTGGCAGTCGGCCAGCATGTGCAGCTGGGATAATGCCGGCGAGTGCTGGGAGAGCTGCGGGTAGCTGCTGGCCTGGAGGAGCAGCTGCTGGGAGCTGGAGGTGGGCTGCCTCTGCAGAGAGGGGGTGGCGGGGCCGTGGGGGACGTGAGCTTGCGGCTGGAGGCTCTGACTGACGGAAGGGGAAGATTTGGATTTGTTGGCCTCTTTTACGTCGTTGTCGTGAGCACTGAAAAATAAAACAAAAGAGCAGGGTGAGGTGAAGCTGGTGGGGTTTACTTCAGAGCACATTGCGTTGTATGATTGCGAGCATATACTGTGGTTTGCCCTTACAGTAACATGAGCTGGATGCACTGCGTCAGATGATCCCAAGAGTAGCCCGTGAGCAGGTGGAGGACAGTGGTCCAGCTGGGGGAGATCTGCAGGCAGATTCTGGACGCAGCTATGCAGGCGGCTGCCACCTGAGAAGGCCTGAAGCTCAGGAAAGCATGATCTACAACAAAGACGCATACAAACATGTTGTTATATCCTCAGTGATTTTACCACGGTTAAGAGACTGTTTTATAAAGCTGCTGCATCATCAATATGCTTAATAAGTCATCAATTACTAAATAATGACATATAAACCATATAAATTAATAGCAATTTATTTATTAAGCATATAAATAAAACAGATCATTAAAATAATTTGAATAATTTAAAATTACATTATTGGAACAAACACAATTCCTGCAATTCTTCCAATTAAAAAAACTAAAAAATAAACTGACACTTTCATTTTATATATCAATAATTCTGTTAATGTCACAGAATGGAAAAGAGGCGAATAAATGGACTATTTTATATTATTGTACATTGCATTGTCTTATATAATAATGTAGTACACACAACTGGTCAAAAGTTTTTTTGTTTTTTTTTAAGAAATTAATACTTCTATTTAGCAAGGCTATATTAAATTGATCAAAAGTGACAGTAAAGACATTAACGTTATAAAAGATTTCCACTTCAAATAAATGCTGTTCTTTTGAACTATTTCATCAAAGAATCCTGTAATGAATGTATTACTGTTCCCACAAATATATTAAGAAGCACAACTGTTTTCATCATTTATAAGAAAAATCTGAGCACCAAATTAGCATATTAGAATGATTTCTGAAGGATCATGTGACACTGAAGACTGGAGTAATGATGCTTTTCCATCACAGGAATAAATCACATTAAAGAAATAATACAATCGAAAACAGCTATTTTAAATTGCAATATCCTCTCACAATATTACCATTTTATTGTATTTTTGATCAAATAAATGCAGCCTTGGGGAGCATAAAAAAAAGAAAACTTACCTAACCAAAAATTTGTATCAGTAGCGTCTACTAGAGGTCTGTGATGATCACAATTTAATCAAATTTACAAATTTTGATGATCTTTTCAAATGGCATTTTCTGACCTACTTAGTTGATCATTATTACTTAATTTTTCGAATTAAAAAAAAAAAAAAAGAAAAAAGAAAAGTGGCATTTTTCTCACCTTGCAACGAAACCTCCAGGAAGTAGTGCGTGTATTTGTCCATGAAGGCTTTGGTCTTGGACAGGGAGGAGAGGGGCCAGCCGTTGTGCAGGTCCCCCTCATGGACAGCAGCATGGAGGTAGTAGTCAATGAAATGGGCAGGTGTGGGCATGCACAGGTTCCATCCAAACGTCTCCAGCAGCAGCAGCTCCATCTTGATGAGGTCACGTTTGTTGAGGGTGAGGTTCAGACTGCACATGAAGCCCAGAGTGTTCAGCTGCTCCAGTTTGGGCACACGGTCCTCCTTCTCCTCAAACTTACCTGTGGCAAAGACAAACAAAAAAGCAAAAGTATTTGAGCTTAAAGGGGTCATATGATGCTGCTAAAAAGAACATTATTTTGTGTATTTGGTGTAATGAAATGTGTTTATGCGGTTTAAGGTAAAAAAAACACATTATTTTTCACATACTGTACATTGTTTCTCCTCTATGCCCTGCCTTTCTGAAACGCGTCGATTTTTACAAAGCTCAACGGTCTGAAAAAGCGAGGTGTGCTCTGATTGGCCAGCTATCCAGTGCGTTGTGATTGGCCGAATTCCTCAAGCGTGTGACGGAAATGTTACATCCCTTACCATACTGTGATGCCTGCGGCAACCACATGTGATGACCCCGGGCTGGCCTCCGCTTCGTCCACGGTGAAAGCCGATCCGGCGATCGACAGTGCGAAGTTGAAGTATTTCCTCAGCGACCAGCACGGATCAGCTCCAGGCACGACGAAGCGACATCGTCCTCTTTTGGAAGGCCAAACAAAGTAGTTTCGCTTTCACAACGAAGCACACAGTGCCTTCACGACATGGCTGCAGCGTCAACAATACTACAGTGAGAATAAAAGTTACGCCTTCTTTCTTTGCGTGAACATTTAGGCGGCGTTATGCAAATCTTCCCAGATAGTGACGTAGGTATGTGGGGGCGTGTTAGAACGAGCCGTTTTAAGTAGGCGTGGCTGACTCTGAACTTTTATAAAGAATATCTCTTTGGATTTGAGACTTTAGTCTTTGCAACTTCACAGATCTTCTTTATGCACCAAGAGCTTGTAACACTCCAAAGAGAAAGAAAATTGAAATCGCATCATATGACCCGTTTAAGCATTTAATTTGTTTGATGTTAAATGCTTGGTTTCAATTACAATGTTAAAATATGAATGCATGGATTATCCTGCTGGTATTCCAGACATCACATCAGAGATATCTTGATGCAGATTCATGACGTGCAATGGATGAAAGACCTTTTATAGCTTTTTTTCCTCGTTAAATAATCTCCTGTTATCAGATATCACTAAGATCTAAGACATTCTTAATCTAAGAACCATGCATCACTGTGCTTCATTCACATACTTGGGTTTCTTTAAAAGGATTTGCATTGACATCATTAAGGTGAGGCATTTTGTGAATTCCTGTAATGAGAGAGCACAGCTGCCTCACAGTGAATTAGCCCTTCTCTGCAGAACTCCTTTGTTCTCTTCCTGACTCTAGGTGCTAGGTGTTAATATATTTTCCCCAAAGTCCAAGGCTCCGCAGTATCGCTTCCCCCGCAGTCTAATGCTCCAACAATAAGGGCCCCACGACCTTTGACTTCTGCAGCTCATGCTTGAGCGCTCACAGTCCCCCTTAGATCACTGGCTGGCATGAAGGAGAAACAGTCCAAACAAGGTCACACCTTCATTCCTCGAGACTTTCAATAAACTCATTCCTCTTAAATGAAACGCAAGCACTATCAGGTCTTTACATCACGACACTGAGTTTCATATACTTGCACATATATTCTATGGACATTTTTTTAATACACTATTTTAATAATACTTTACCATTTATTATAGCAAAACCCCTGTTGTAAATGTGCATCTTAACTACTACAAGCTGACATAAACACCCAGTCATTACAAGAGTCAGATGCTAATTCAATAAACGCTCACAGATTTAGTAATTTGTTACACCAGGTATACACCCAGACAAACCTCTATGACCTAAAATATTTACTTGAAGTAACCCTTGAGATTAACCCTAGATTTCTTCACTTTTGGTTCAGTGGACTTTCAGAAAATGAACTCTCTTAAAACACAATTTTCACACCGGCTCTAGATTCTCAACAGCGTATATACATGGATCACAGGACAATGATGATCATTTTTTTCTGAAACATCCATAATGCCATGCTTTCACATATGAAATGGTTTAATAGCATTCGGCTGCATTTTAGGAATACCAGTTTATGTTTCCCGATTACACAAATACTAGCTTTTTGTGTAATTTGACAAAACTGTATATTGAATGTATTCTTGTCTATAATCATTTCACCTTTTGTTTAAATATGCATTTTACCAAATGTTTATCAATTAATATATTCATGATTGAATATCTGGGTCTTGGAAAAAAAAATACATACACAAAAGGCTTTTGAATTTGAAAAGTAGCAAAAACATATGAACTCATGGCTTCCGAGTTTAAATATAATCTTCATATAATAAAGAAAATATTTATGCAAAGTTAAAGAGACAAACATGAAGTTTAAAACACATAAATTACCTTATTACATTATCATGATATTTCAGTATAATTATGCAATATTTTATATATATATATTATGTAATTATACTACATGTATACTACTCCTGCCACAACTGTCACCAAATTAAATTATGTGTGATCCAGTCAGACTGAACTCAATGTGTTTTTGTGTGCCGACAACAAAGACAAAGCATAGAAACGTGTTGCCTATATTGTCTTTGACATCACATTCAATTCAAACTCATTCAATTTCTTTTGTCACATTACTGTAGATTCAGCAGAAGAACAGCGAACACTGGTGGACCTTCACGGTCAAAAATGCCCAGCTGACACAAAAGCCACTGCACAGCACACAGTGTCTTTTCTTAATTATCTGGGGTGTACAAATTCTTTTCATTAGCATCAAACCACAGGGGGCATCTGTCACACTAATCTGAATATCAGGAACCCTGCTGAGTGTTTCAGTTCAAACATGCCCCTCCAGGGCCCCACCCCTCCCTCATCCTTCTGAGGAGAGGGCCAGCCTGCATTTGACATGCTACTCTATACCGTTTTGTCAAAAAGGAGAGCTGCAGCCCAATTAGCTACGGGACAGATATACCATTTCAACAGGGCTTCTTGCTGAAAATGGAAAAGTACCACAGGATTAGGGTTTCAACTCATCTTGTTTTCGTCATTCCTTCAAAATGCAGAAAACATACTGCTAATAAATCAGATTTGATTAAGAAAAACTAGTTTCACGACATGCATCGTGCATCAAATTGGTTACTATAACAAACCCCCCATCACCCCAGCTCAGGAGAGAAAATGAGCCTGATATCTCGCCCTCTCCTCCAAAAGTTTTCAGCTAAAAGAATGAGAGCGGGTGGGTGTTGGGGGCTAATTGCACTGATAACATCAAGCTCAAGTGTTCGTCCATGCATATCCTCAAGCTGCATTCAGCCATCATTCATCCCTGAATGGTATCAGCTACAAATTAGATCTGAAAGTCTTGATTAATTTCCTCTGTTTCAGAACAGTAATGTTCTCACTCAGCTAGTTTTTAACGTTGACCTCAGCTGAAATCTTGGCACGGCGCAACTTCTGCCGACTCAGCCTTCAAGACGATCCTCCGGTGTTAATACGGGGTTATGGTCTGGCTTCAAATGACACAAGCTTAAATAAAGCTTAAACCAAAGTAAATGAGCTTTATTTGGGCAGCAGCGTTATTTTAGTATTACTTTTACAGTATTTATTTATCTTCAATTAGCTGTTATGTTTATATTTTAAGTTTTCACCTCATTTTCATGTTTAATTTAAGTATTTTTTGTTGTTTTTAATATTTCTATTTGGCTTTAGTTCATATTAATTTCAATTTTCGTTTTAGTGATTTTAATAAGGCTGCATTTCTATTTCTTTCCATCTAATATTTATATTTTATTTGAGCTTCATTTCAATAAAATTTTTTTTTTATAGTTTTAGTTAACAATAACAACAATGAAATACACAGAAACAATATTAAACCTTGTACTGAGCTGAAAATCCTTCACCTAATTTGGTGTTCCTGGCCAGAAATGACTGATTGCTTGTAAATCTCTCAGTATGCTATATTAATCACCAAAACTCAGATTCAATCTTTTTGTTAACTTGTTTTCTTTTGATTAGCAAAGGTTTTGCATTTCTTTTTGTAACTGACTTCTCATAGCCCCCACTCATATGAGCTTATGCACCTCAGTTCTTGAGTGAAAAAGGCATCATTTGTGGAAAATGTATCATTTTGGAAATTCTCACTCAAAAACTGAGGTGCATAAGCTCAGATCAATGAGGCCTATGATCAATCAGTTCCAAAAAGAAATACAAAACCTGTGATAACTGAAAGCAAATAATTTGACAAAAAAATTAATCCAATATTTGACAAAATAACAAAAAAATATATAAGCCATTTTTTGTAGGCATATTTTATTTGTAACCAGGTGGGGAAAAAATTGCCGGCCAGCGCAAAACAACCCTCCTCCACTCAAGAGGCGGCCAAAATGAGGGTCAGAAGAACGAGAGATGCCATAAAGACAACCTTTTGGTCAGTATTGTACAGGTCCAGATGCAGGAAGCACTCTGAATTAATTGTCATTTTGGTTGACAATCAGGGCTCCAGATTTTAATCTGTGAAAAATACCACCACAAGGCAACACAAGTCACCCCCTCTATCTTATCTCTCTCGATTTGTTTGTGTGCAAGCAGACGTGCCACCACTGATAACATGTTCTGCCACAGTACACAGCACAGATATATTATGAGTCAGACTTCCTTGTTTCCTGCACTATAAATCTACTGGAGACATCAGGCGACACTTCTGCATCACTGCAAGATTGCATAATGCTTTTGCAATCCACCTGAAACTGACGGCTAGACTTGCAACATGCCGGAGCAGCTGTAAGCTGCAATGTCAAACTCTCTGTGGGTTGGATAGGTTGCTTTGGAGACTGACTCAGGGGTCTTGAGGCCAGCAGAGGCTGTGGCCTCTTCTGCACACAGCACAATACAGCAGCCAGCTAGTGCAGAGAATAGGGCTGTGCGATTAATCGAAATCGTCATAAAATCGCGATTTGAGCTTGCGCGATTTCTAAATCACTTTATAGCACGATTTTCCGCGCCCCCCCCGACCCGCAGTATGCTATCCGAACCAATCAGAATGCAGCGCGCCTAAATGGAGCACGAGAACAGAACAGACCGGGCGGACATACAAACGTAACGCCAGGTTCACACACTCCATCTGTGGTGCGTATTTTTTCCGCGCCCATGTTAACGGATCAGAGCGTTCACACTGCACGCGATTGCGGTCCGGCAGTGCGCTCCAGGAGCGGTGCGTCTGCAGCAGTCATGCTGCGATCGTTTCCGCACGGAATCTATTTCTGCTGTGCTGCACGTGCTGAATTAAAGTGACAGCGCATTATTCGCTGTAAAAATTAACATGGATTGACACGGAAATTTAGTCATTACACCATAAATGCAAATGAGTTTAAACGTGAATATGTCTATGAAAGATTGTATTACTGTACTGTGATAAAAGATAATCACAATGCTGAAAAAGCATTTCAGAAACAATGTTTGGATTTGAAATCAAAATAATGGATAAATGTTGTGTTTGTGGTAAACAGCCGCGGATGAGGAGCGGACTGCAAACGCGTCCGGTGCGAAAGCAAAATGAGTCTGTGCTGCTTCTGCACCGCATACACATACTGTAGACGGACTGTAGACGGAGTACGTGTGAACTTGGCACAACAAATCTAGTTCAACATCTGAGGAAACGCCACAAAGAGCTTTATGACCAATGAATGAATGCATGGCAAAAAAAAATCCCTGGACACGGGATTTTTATTAATTTTTTTGCCATATGTCTATTCTAGAGACATTTTGTTACACCTTTACTT